ACAGGCCACGCTACTCTCCAGGCACTACATCCGCGGGAGGAGTATTTGCCAGAATGGAAAGGGGACTTCGTTTCCTGGTGCCTTCGGTGTCAGTTCAAGGCCAAACTCATAACACAGGGTCGCAGCTGTCATCCCACCCCAAGGAGGAGGCCGCAGAGGCTGCAAGGCGCTGAGACCCAGGTGCCGGGTGGGGTTCAGGTCTGCACAGCCCTGAAGGACCTCGTCATGGAAGCCCACCAAAGGAAAGGCTGGGGGGGCTCTTTAGGAGGGGGTAATGAGTGGGCTGGGGTCTCAGAGTTGACTATGGCAAGCTGAGCCCCCTCCCTGCTCCCATGCCCCACCCCGCCCTTCCTCCAGCTGCAGAGCCCCCTTGGGAGGGAGGGGCACCCCTCCCCCTCTGCCCGCCTGCCCTTACCTGGGGTACACACACACACACACACACACACACACACACACAGAGGACCTGTGCCCTTCCTTCTTCTGCACCTGGGGAGAATGCCCCTCCCTCAAATTAGCAAGTCTATCCTGAGTGACCTCAGGGGTCTTAAGTCCCAAGTGTCTGAAGGTTCTGACTGGGGGTGTCTGTGCTGCTGCTGGGTTCTTGGGCCCCCAGGGAAGATCAGCCTGCCTTCTGTCCCGCCAGCCAGCCCTAGTCCCTGCCCCGTAGCCCACCTGCCCACAACAGCTGTCGCCACAGAAAGGCGCCAGGAGAGGCGGGAAGGGACTCAGGGGAGGGGGCCGGGCCTGAGGAGGCTCTAAAGAGGGAGGGGGGAGGGGTGCGGAGGGAGGGGGAGGGGTGCAGAGGGAGGGAGGGGTGCGGAGGGAGGGAGGGATGCGGAGGGAGGGAGGAGGCACCTGCCTCTCTCCTCTTTGCTCCCGTCCTTGCTTCCCTCCCATGTCCCCCCTCCATGTGGAGCATTCTGAGAGCCAGTGGGCGGCCTTGGGTGTCACTGCCCTGCCCTGGCTTTGTATGAGGGGACGCTGGGGCTCAGAGGGGTGGGGATTCACCCCCAGCTGAGGCCCAGCACTGCAGAGACTCCTCACGTGGGTCCCAGCGACGATTAGGACCCCTGCCCCCACAGCCACGCCCCCACTGCCTCCTCGAACCCACGAGCCTCCCAGGGAGGTTTATCCTCTGCAGCTCCTCCCAGGCTGTCTGGGGGTGGCCAGGGAGACCCCACCCACGTGGCACCGAGAGCCACATCAAGCCTTCTTCATTCAGGACAGCAGCCGGGGCCCCGAGAGGGCAGGGGCTGGGCCAGTTTTCACTGTGGCTCCTCAGCCCACCCTCCCCAGCCCACGGGCAGGCTGGGGCCACAGGCTTCCCCCTGCTCTCCTCTTGTAGGACGGGGACCTATTTTAGGGTGAGGTCCCTGTGAGCCACATAGGGTCTTCGGGGACAGCCAGAGCCCCAGCCAAGGAGCGACTCAGGCAGGACCCGTGCCGGGCCGGTGGCCCTGTCCTAGCCCCTGCTAGCTGTGATGTTCTCGTCTCCGAAGGAGCAGCTCTCTTAAATACAGGGTCTCCTCCCTGCCCTCGCCCTCACACCTAGCATTTGTCACACGCTCCTGATGGGACCAGCACCACCAGACAGCCTCAAGTCAGTGGGTGACTTGGATGCTCTCAGTAGCCCAATTTTATGGCCAGGAATTGGAGGCCCGGAGACTCCATAATCTGTAAGTGTTGCCCAGCTAGCAGGGAAGCGGTGGGTCCTGACCCAGCAAATCGGGCCTCGGAGCCCCAGCCACAGCCACCTCTACCTGCTGGACTTTCTGGGCCATCAAAGCCAGATGGCCACAGTGACCACAGGTTCGCTTCCTGTTGTGGCCACACAGAGTTCATGGTCTCACCGATAAGTCTGTGGCCTGGGGCTCCTCCAAGGCCCACTGAGGGTTCCACTGCTCCTGTCTACACCCTGCCTTCCTGAACCATGTCCCCGAGACGCAGAAGCACGCCCCACTGCAGAGGGCCGGTGTCCCGAGCTCAAACACTGTGCCGCCTGCCTGAGGCCCTATTGCTGGACGAGCCCCAGACCCACCCTTGAGGATGGGAGCAGCCAGATGCCACCAGCACCCAGGGACAGGTGGCCAGAGGGAGCCTCCAGGGGCAGGTGGGGGCAGGGGCATGTGCAGCCTCTTCCACAAGCAGGACTCTGCCTGAGCCACCAACTCAGGTCTGTCGAGATCCCTGCAAACATCCGGCACCAGATCACCTGTCTGACCTGAGACCCGGCCTGTGCGGTGATTCCTGTTCAAGCTCGCCAGCCTCGTGGTGGGGCTAGAACGGGGCCCCTGAGCTGCAGGTGGTAGTTTCCCAGGGGTCACTCAGAGCGCCCCATGCCTGCGTCCTCACTGAGCCGGGTCCAGGTCCCCAGCCCCAGCCGCATAGTGTCTTCCCTGAGCTCCCAGGCTGGACTTTAAAACAATGCCCCCGGTTCAGCTCCAGTCCCGCTCTGGGACCCCCGGGCTCGGTGGGCAATTCTCAAGGCAGCGAATCCCTGGGCCCCATGCCAAGCTGCCCAAGCCGGCTAGTCGGTGCTTCTCTGAGTCTCTGTCTGCACCTGGCGCTCCCACGGGGATCAGAGGTAGGGGACCACATGCCCTTGGCCCAGCAGCGCTGTCACGAGGGGGCTGGGCCCTGGGATCAGAATGAGGTTTGGCACTTTCCACGAAGGCCCGTTGGCCAGGTGGGCCAGCCTCCCTTCTGGGAAATCCCCACCTCCCTGAGCCGAGCTGTGCACCCAGGAATTTCTTACATGGCTTTGGGAGGACGTTGACCCCCAACAGGCATTTTTCCCCTCACCTTTAGAAGTGCCCCTCCTGAGTACATCTGTACTGCTTTTGCATCAGTAGTTTCAATGACCTGGGGCCACCACAGCCTGACAGAAGGTGACCGAAAGCAAATAATTCAAGCACCGTGCCACTGCCTGTCAGATTCGGCCACTTTGCTGTTGGCGGAGGTGTGAGGCCCACTGTCACCCTATGGCTGGGGAGTGGCATGGGGCTGGGGGGGCAAGTTCTAGGGGGGGCTCAGACCAGACCCCGATGTGAGGCTCAGGGAACCCTCTGGGGCTGGGGGGCCAAGTGCGCCCCACCCGCAGGAATGCAGAACTGCTCCTTCCGCCTCCCCGAGCCCAGGTCCTCCTCCAGATGCAGGGTCTGTGTGCTCTCAGGGGCCCTCTGTCCTCTGCAGGGGACAAGGCGCTGAGCACCTTGGGGTCGGGAGGTGGCTTCTGCATCTCAGGAGACAGATAGTCTCACAGGTCTTCCTCCCTCCCTCCCTGGGGTCCAGCGGCCAGTTCCTGCCCCTCCCCAAAGTGGAGGACATGGAGGTCCAGAGTGGGACCTGGAGGGGGCGGGGTCAGGACCCTTGTCCCCCAGGAGCAGCCGGCAGAATTGTTCCAAAGGGAGGGAGGGGAGAGGTCGCTCTCTCACTTTCTCACACTACCCAGGCCCGTCCCCAGCCCACCCTTTCCCAGCATCTGCCTCAGTTTCCTCACCCATAACATGGCACTAGAACACGTTCGGAATGCTGGTGAGTGTTTCACTGGGACCTGAGCAGGGGTGGGTGGGCAGGGGTGGGCGGTCCAACCCTCAGATCCAGGCCGAGGGGCTCCTCGGAGGAATGGGTGCTGCTGTCTTCCAGAAACCCCCTGCCCTGGGGCCGCAGCTGCCCAAGGATGTACCTTCTTTGCCTCCATACGGGTCTGCGACAGCCCAGCTTCTGCAATGGACCCTCTGCCTCCCCCACCCCGCTTCACTCGGCTCGTCTGACTGGAGCCTCACGGCCCCCACTCCCTCCAGTGTCCAGGGTGGCTGGGCCGCCCACCCCCGTGCCTCGGACAGGTGTGCACCCCAGCTCCTGGAACAGGGACTTGAGGGAGGAGGAGGGCCAGGCTGGGAGCCCTCGCGTCCCTCAGAGGCCCAGCACTGCCCCCTCCCTTGCAGGCCCTGACTGGATCTGGGCATAAGTGAGGGAGGCGGGACCTGCCCCTCGCACTGCCCCCCCACCCCGTGCGCTGTGTTTTGGGTGCCTGTCCCCGCAGTTTGGGCTGTTTTTCCTGCAGTGCACGTAGCAAGTTCCCCACCTAGGAATCCCTGGGCCCGGGGCAGCCAGCCTGTGGGCGGGACCAAGCGCAGGGAAGGCAGGCCGTGCTGGGCCTCCCGGGGCGGGTCGGGTCCTTGCCCTCTCCTCTCTGGTGCTGCCCACCTGCCACCCACCTCCTGGCACAGTCGGGGCCTGGCTATGGGCGGCGGGAGAAACAGGCAGGGATGAGGCCCCCACCAGCTCCCACAGCCTGGCCTTTTCCCTAAAAGGAGCAGCCCACATGGCAGGGCCTGAGACTCCCAGGAATGATGGAGCCTGCCACGATGGGGTGTCACGGCCCCACTGGCCCTGCCTGCGCCCCTCCAGTCCTGTTCTCCTGGAAACAGCACCCCCATCTTCCTTTGGGGGTCCCTGTGGGGGGCCTGCCCCACTCCATTCCATCGTCACCCTATTCTGGGCATGGTGGGCCCAGGCCACTCAGAGGCACAAGGGTGGGTCAGAGATGAGCCCATGACCACATTCAGATCAACGAGAGGCAGGGCTGCTGGGCTGCGGGAAAAGAGGGGTGCCCTCTCCACTGGGACAGGGCATACAGGCAGAGCCTGGTACTCTTCACCACAAGAGGAGAGGCTGACCAAAAACAAAGCCACTGCAGGGGACAGCAGGCAGCCGTGAAGCACCTGGACCCAGCCATGCCTGAAGCCCTTTCTACACCTGGATCCAGCCATGCCTGAAGCCCTTTCTATACTTGGATCCAGCCATGCCTGAATCCATTTGTATCTCTGGATTGACAGTTACATTTTCTCCTTTGCAATTTGAAGTGTGCTGAGAAACCCACAGGGGAAGCTATACAGCCAAGAGGCTATCTCCTGCTTCTGCCAGGCTCCCAAGACAGGACAGGCCACACTGACTGCCCTCACTCCAGTCCTCTGCAGAGGGCAGCCCCCACTCACCATGACAGATGTGGTCATGCCCTCCAGGTGGAAGACGTCCATGCTGGAATCTGTGCCACCCACCGCCTCATTAGTCCCCCGGCTTGACTGGGGAAGGTCGAAGTAGGTGCTGTCTGGTTCCCTGGGGCAAGGAGAGGAAAACAGAAGCTGTCAGCCCCCAGTCTTGGCGTCACCCCCACACCTCCCAGGAGCTGAAGGCCAGCCCGAGACTCCTGGTGAGGCCTATGTCTTCTGCCCCTCCCAGGCCCTCTCACCCCTTCTCCGTCCTCCACCGCCCCTCCAGGGCTGCTGTCCTTGCCAGAGACACAGAATCAGTCACGGGCCCCGTTTTCCTGGGCCTCTGCTGGCCATGGCCCCTCTCCAGAGACGGCCAGGGAAAAGAGTCTGAATTTTGGTTCTGCCTCCCCAGGGAATGCCTAGGGCAGCAGTCCCCCTTCCCTACCCCTCTGACCCAGCCCTGTCCCCAGGCTGATGAGGGTGGCCAAGGCTAGCCCAAGACCAGTGTGGGGCCACCTCTCCTGCTCTGGTCCAGTTAGGCCAGTAAGGGTGGCCGAGGTTAGCCCAGAATCTCATCGAGGGTGGCCAAGGTTATTCCAGAGTCCCAGTGAGGGTGTCTGAGGCTGGCCCACAGTCCTCCCGGGGCCACCCCCCCTGCTCTGGTCCGTTATCCCAGTGAGGGTGGCTGAGCCCAGAGTGCCTCCCAGGGAGCCCCCAGCTCTGGCCAGCCGAGCGCACTCACAGAGAGCTCCAGAGGTGCTCGAACGTGGTGCCCCCATCGGGGGAGGTGGTGGTGGACTGGGCCATCTTCCTCTCGCTGGCCTCCGAGGGCAGCTCACTCTGCAGGGAGGAAAGAATGACACCTGAGCGCCCTGGGAATTTGTGCTCTGCCTTTCTGTGACGGCCTGGGGGAAGGCAGGCAAAATCCCAGCTCCCTTCACAGCGGCACCAGTCCTGGGAGCTGAACGGTGCACACAGCCCAGATGCCCATCAGCAGATGCCTAGGGCATCCCTTGAGCACTGGCAGGTGCCCCCTCACCTTCCCTGTGCCCTCTCCACTCTCATTTTGTCCACCCTGCCCCCACGGCTGGAAACCGAGGGCCAGGTGGGCAGCTCTGCCTTGGAGGTGGCTGGCCTGGATCAGGCCCATCCGCGGGGGCTTCTCAGAACTGCTGCCTTGGAATAGGGGATGACAGCAGCACCCGCTCCTGGAGCTGCCATGGGGGCCTTGGGGAGAGCAATCTTTGAGATGCCTGGGCCAGGATGAGTGCGTGAGGCCGGTGGTCGCTGTCACGATCCACTGTGTCTAGGTTTGGCCCGGGGGACGCAGCCAGGTTTGGGGTCTCCCTCATGCCCGCAGGTGGCTCAGGTCCTGATCACCCCATCTTGGGAATAGCGTGTGTGTGAGGGATGCCCTGGAGGCTTCGGCCGAGCCCTGGGCTACAGCCTCACTGTGCTGATTGCTGTGGGGCACAGACATCTTCCCACCTTCTGAGCTCTCCCTGGACTCCAGCCCCACAAGGAAGCCTGGCAAGGCTGGGAAGCTGAAGCTGCCCTGTCCTGGAGCTGGCCACTGCCTGGGTGGTCCCACTTTGAGAAGGAGATACCTGGGGACTGCGGAGCCCTGACCCCAGAGTCCATCCACTGGTCTTTGTCTCCACCATTGCTCCCCTGAGAGCCCCTGTGCCCAGCTCCCAGTGGCCCTGGGCACCCATGAGGAGGTGCCAGTGTCCAGGCGGGGCACAGCTGGGGTCCCTGGTTCTATGCTGAGGGGGAGGGGACAGGAAAACCGGAGCCCACCCTGCCCATAGCCCCCCGCCCTGGCTGAGGTGACCTCTCCCCTGGGCCAGCCTCCCAGGTCCTTGGCAAGGTGCCATGGGACTGGCTTGGCCACCGCCCTGCAGTGCCCAGGCAGGCAGGCCCGGACCTGCCCACGGCCGGCGGGGTGTAGGGCACGGCCTGCAACCTGTGGCTTTTGTCCTTCCCCAGGCAGGTGGCAGCTGATGGAAGTCTGTGGCACGCTCCCGGGCCACCACATGCTGGGCGATGGAGAAGTGGCACGGGCCAGGCTGGGGGGTGGTCAGTGAGCCTGAGTGGCCTGGGACAAACAGCTTAGAGAGCACTGACCACAAGCTAGCTCTCCTAGGAGGGCGTGACCACCACTTTACTGCTTTTCAGGAGCCGCAGGCTCAGAGGCGTTAAGTGACTGGCCTGAGGTCACACAGCTGTTAAGTGCAGGTGAGGAAGGTCCCAGGGGCCCTTCAGAATCGGGAGTTAATTCAGGGGTCCCGCCTCACCCCGCCCCACTTCACTGTCAGGCAGCCAGGCATGAACTTGCAGGCCTCAGACCCTGGGCTGGGCTGCCTGAAACCCCAGGGGAGCTGAGGGTGTGCCAGAGAGCAGCATCCCGTTCATTTATAGCGGGAGGGCTGACCGGAAGTGGAACTGCAGGCCCAGCTGAGGCTGGCACTCGGCCTCGACGGTGGGCAGAACCCGCCCTTGCCTGTGCCCCACGGCCCAAGAGGTAGCCTCTTGGTGCAGGTGTGTGGGCCGAGGCCGGATGGCACAAGTGAGGGGCCCCGGGCAGGTTTCCTGAAAGGCGGGGGGACTGGAGGGGCCAGACTGGGAGGGAAGAAGCTCCCTCCGATCCAAGAGGACAAGCCCTGGAAAGTTTTGCCGCCGGAGGCCACTGGGTTGAGGCCCCTTCGTTCTGCAGCTGGGCCACTGAGCCCAGAGGTGAAAATGACTTGGCCGCAGCCACACAGCAGGTGGGTGGCAAAATCCCAGCTCCCTTCACAGCAGCGCCAGTCCTGGGAGCCGAACCGTGCACACAGCCCAGATGCCCACCAGCAGAGGGCCGGGCACTTGAGACATGGTTCCCACAAACAAGGAGACATTACGAAAAGGAAGGAAGCTGTGACGTGTTACCGCATGGGTGAGCCCTGAAACGTCATGCTCAGGACACATGACCTCATCTGCCAGCCTGTGAGCTGCTCCCCCACAAAGGCTAAGGTGGGACAGAGACAGAGAGAAACAGGGACGAAGAGAGACAGAGACAAAGAAAGACAGAGACATAGAGACAGGGAGAGAGACAGAGAGAGACAGGAAGAGAGACAGAGAGAGACAGGGAGAGAGACAGAGCGTGAGAGCCGTCGGCATCCCGCCGCACCCCCACTGGAGGTCTAGTGCTTCCGTGAACAGCTGTGGACGGGGCATGCCTCCAGGGGCTCACAGGAACTGGTCAGTGAAACGTTATTTGTGACCTTGTGCCTGGGACATGGACGTTGGCTATATTTTCAAGCGGGTACCATTTTAGCTCCCGCGGGTTCTGAGCCACGCCCTCTTCCCTCTAACCCTGAATGAAGAACAGCGACGCTTCTTGTCTGCGCACCCCTGCCTGCCGGAGCCCCGGCTTCCACACCCCCCGACCGGCATCCGCTGCGCACTGCGGGACACCAGCTTGGCTTCTCACCCCTGCCTGGGCACAGAACAGAGGCCAGTGAGTGTGGTCAGGGGGTCCCCGATCCCGCCCGCCAAGCCCTCCAGGCCCATGGCACAGGCCTCCGGTGCCACCACTAGGAGCACGTGGGGTGGGGAAGGGGCGTCCTCCGTGCCGGAAGTTGGGTCCCCAAATATTCCCCAGACCTGCCTGCCTGGGACTTGAGCAGCGGGCCTCCAGGAGCAGCCGTGTGTCCAGAAGGCCTGGGCAGACGCATCTTCCAGGCCGCTCCTCCCCACCGGGGGCTGGGGGGGCCCAGGATCTGCACCTTTACCAAGCCCCCAGGGAGTCATGAAGAGTCTGGAACAGGCCCCCGAGGAGGACGCTGTCATGAAGGCTGGCCTCGCCACTGCATGCCGCCCTGCTGCAGCCACCAGCCTCCCTGGAGCCGTCGGGTTCCACACCGGCAAAACCAGGACGGAAAAAGCACATGGAGGAACTGGAACCGGAAGCCACGGAATGCCTGATTTCCAACTTCTGGGCAAAACTCCGACGCTGGTGGCATCGGCCCCAGGGCCCCACGGGAACACTGATAAGACCCACAGAGCCCAGGCAGGAGGCCCAGGACCATGTGGCCACCCTCTGTCCCGAGTGGGTGGGATGGGGACAGGCCCTTCAGCCAGGGTTGCCAGGTCTGCGGTCAGGGGCGGGGATGAAGACCCATTTGCTGGGCTTGGGGAGGAGGGTGCGGCTGAGAGCCCCTCCCGCCACAGATGGCCTGCCTGCTGCCCCGCTCCCCGCTCCCCTGGTCCAGGGAGCCGAGCATGGTGACAAAAGACAGACGTAGCTTCCCACTGCGGGGGCAGCTTGCACCGTGTGTAATACGAGGGCAGCTGGGGGTGCCTGAGCAGGCTGCCCTCTCCCTCCTGGGCTGTGGCCGTGGGGAAGTGAGAGAAGAAGGGAGACAGATCTGAGATTGCCTGGGGGAATCCCAGAGCCTCATACTGAAAGCTTGAGGCCATCCCCATGGCCAAATCAATAATGCCCGGGACCCTGCGGGTGGAGGTGCCCCCTGGGTAGAGCAGTTCACAAGCAGTCAAGTGAAGTGGCTTGTATGAATCCCTTCTGGGGATGCCGGCCACCCCATGACGGCCCAGTGAGGGTGTGTACCACGTGCCACGTTCCCAGCCAGGAGACGCACACAGAGGGGAAAGGCAGCTCCCCACGGGTACGCAGCCGGTCAGGGCGGAGGTCGAACCCAGCAGCCTGGCTCTACCTTGATCTGGCCTGGAGCTGAGCAAGGGAGGCGAAGGCCCAGCTGCAACCCCCTCCCTAGTCCCCCACGTTCCCACCGCACAGCCCCACCCCGAACCCTACCTGGGAAGCCCCTGCCTGGGAAGCCCCTGCCTGCGTCTTTCGTCACAGGTACATCGAGGCCTAACCCACATCTAGACACCCAAGGGGCCCGCCCTGCCCTCTGCTGCCTGCCCAGGCCTTCTTGCTGTCATATGTGTGTTTGGGTCACACCAGGACACACGATTCCTGCCCGCTGCTTCTGCCCTGAAGCCCAGCAGTGCTGGGCACATGTTCCAGCTCCGTGTCCCGCTCTGCCCACACAGCCCACCTCTGCCGCTCTCCAGCTGTGTGACCCTGGACAGATGTCTTGCCCAGTCTGAGCCTCTGTTTCCTGGTTTGTAAAACGGGGATAACTGTGGCAGCTGCGTGCTAGAAGCACTGGGTGGAATGAAGTCACTCCGCATGTAAAAAGCAAAAGCACTCCTCTGTCCGGGCACATGGCGGATGCCCCACAAACAGTATCGAGTTGCAATTGACCAACGATTACTTAGTATCAGGTGGTAGCAGTGGAGGGAGAAGAATGAGGTGGGTCCCAAGGACAGGAACCGGGCTGAGGAACAGAGCTGCACACACGAGGGCAGAAAGGGGGGGCCTGGTGGCTGCTGGGTCCCTGGCTCCTTTGAGCACCTCTCCATCGCATGGTCAGTGTGCGGCTCATCCTGGTTTTTTTTTTTTTTTTTTTTTTTTT